CCCGCGACACCAGAGGCGCACTCTCCCTGGGCGGGCCCCAGGCGGGGCTCCGTCTCCGCTCTGCGCTGGCCAGCGCCCCGCGGGTCCGCTCTGCGCTGGCCAGCGCCTCGCGGGCCCGCGCCTGCTGTGCAGCCGCCTCCGCCGCCGCCGAGAGCAGCAGCGCCCCGGCCAGCACCTGGGCCCTCGCCCGGCGGGGGGGGCATGTCCCAGCGCCCCAGTGGGCGGGCCGCGCCCCCGGTCTCCGTTCTGCTGCGTCGGCCCAGGCTTAGGTCGAGCATGTCCCCCTACAGGCGGACATTCAACACATTCGACAAATATCCCCTGATCGTCAAAATAGAAACAAAAAATCGTCCCCAAGACTATTGCTTGACTATTTTTGAAGATTCCTCCTGTAGAGGAACATGCCCGACTTAAGCCCAGGCTGGCCGAAGCGCCCTGGCATGTCCGCCACCCGCGGGCCCAGCCGCGCGCACCCCCCTGGCGCGCTCGTCGCCTCACGGCTGCTTGGGCCGCCCAGCGTTCAGGGAGAGGAGTGGGGAGGGGGAGTACTCGAGGGCGGCAAAGAGGGGGGTGATGACTAAGGGGGGGGTATCATGGCGTGGGCCATGATATTTCCTCAGATTTCATGGCACCTCTTCTTATTTCGTTACGTTCCTGGCCCCCCCTGGGCCGCGCACCTGCCGCCGGCCATGATTTGCGCCCCCCCCCGACGGACGCCCCCCTCTTGGCCGCCCCCGAAGTAAGGGGATGGAGGAGGACCAGGAGGGGGAGGACCAGGAGGAGGAGGAGGAGGGATGAGACACGCGAGACACTGCAGAGAGGCAGCAAGTGACGATCTACGGGCAACCTGCAGAAGAATATGGAGTCCCGACGGCCTGCACGTCAATCGAGCTCCTGTGAGAGGCTCACGCGTGTCGCCGACCAAAGCGGAAGGACCTGCCTGGTATCTCACCCACAGCACACCTGTGTTGTGCAAGCAGAGGCCCCACCACGAGGTGACAGTGGTGCCCAGGCAGGCCAGCGGTCCCACCTCGCCCTGCGCTTCATCCTCAGGACGTCGCGCGGACGGCCGACAGGAAGCGGCTCGTTGCTGCGCCTGTCCGCGACAATCGCCGCGCGCGCTCCGGGCGCGCCCACGTCTGCGCGGCGGCGCGAGCGGGCCCGCCGCCGCAGGCACCCTCTCCAGAGGGCGATCGGCGGGAGGAGCCGCCGCACGAGCCGCTCCATCAGCCCCACGAGCAGGCGCCGCGGCTGCAGGCACTGGCGCGTGCGCCTCCCCCACCTCGGCCCCCCTTGTGCCCGACGGTGCGGCGGGACGGCGGCCGCCATCGGCCCACCCGGCGGCGGCCTCCGCCGGCGCACCCGCAGCTCCAGCCGCGCTGGCAGCCGTCGCGCGCCTCCCCGCTGCAAGGGCTTAAGCGGCGCCACCTGCGCCGCGCCCGCTGGGGCGCAGTCGAGGCGTCTCGTCGGCGGCTGCCGCCACCGTGCCGCGAGGCATCTTGGCATCCGCGGCGGCGCGGGCGGCAGCGGGCACGAGCGCTGCGCCGTCCTCCGCCTCCAGAGCCCCTCTAGACTCTACGTAGGTTTCGACTTGGTGGGTGGTGGGGCGCCCGCGAGGAATGCCGCGCGGTCGCTTAAGCCAACATGTAAAGCAGGAGGAGGGAAAGAGGAGGAGGAGGAGGAGGTGGAGGAGGTGGAGAAGAAGGAGAAGGAGGAGGAGGAAGGGAGGAAGGGGGGGATAGGGGAGAAGGAGGAGGAGGAGGAAGTGGAGGAGGAGGAGGGAGGAGTGGGGCGCTCGAAGGGATGATGATGCTGATGATGATGATGCTGATGATGGTGATCCTGCTGCTGCTGCTGATGATGTTGATGATGATGATGAGGATGATGATTATGATCATGATGATGGTGATGATGATACTGATACTGATACTGATAATGATAATGATACTGATGATGATGCTGATGATGATGATGCTGATGCTGATGCTGATGCTGATGATGATGATGATGATGCTGATGATGATGATGATGCTGATGCTGATGCTGATGCTGATGCTGATGCGATGATGATGATGATGATGATGATGATGATGATGATGATGATGATGATGATGATGATGAGGAGGAGGAGGAGGAGGAGGAGGAGGAGGAGGAGGATGAGGATGAGGATGATAATCAGGTTGAGGATCAGCAGGAGGAGGAGGAAGAGGGCAGGGAGTATCGGATGTAGGAGGGGGAAGGAGGAAGAGGAGGAGGATCAGGAGGAGGAGGAAGAGGAGAAGAAAGAGGAGGATAAGGAGGAGGTGGAGGAGAAGGAGGAGGAGGAGGAGAGGACGAGGAGGAGGAGGACGATGAGAAGGAGGAGGAGGGATGACCAGGAGGTAGGAGCGGGGAATGGGCGAGAAAGAATGGAGGAGTGGCTTGCTGGACCGAGGGGCGAGGAGTGATGACAAGGAAGAAGCCGGAGGAGGGGGGAAGCAGGATCAGGAGCAGCAGTAGGGGGAAGGATGAGCAAAACCAAACCATCAGGAGGAGGAGGAGGAGGAGGAGGAGGAGGAGGAAGAGGTGGAAGACCGGAAGCACGAGGAAAAGCAGGGGGCAGGAGGAGCGGGGGATGAGGGAGGACGTCGGGTGGGGCGAGGATCAGGAGCAGCAGCGGGAGGAGCAAGATGACGTGGTTCGGGGGGGGGGGGAGGACTGAGCCGAGCCCTCCTGGGTTGAAGGGAAGACGAAGCCGTTGCCACTTGCGTCTGCCAGCAGGTCGCACCCGCAGAAGCACCGCGCTGAGCTTTTTCTATCGCCGCGCCATTGACAACTCTGACCCGGTGGAGCTCCCGTGCGATTGCCTCGTCCTGTCTCCGCCTTCTATAGTCAGCACCCCGCACTCCTCCGACGTGCGCTGACACGTGCGGCGCCCACGGCACGAGAGTGTGTGATGTGCATGGCGCGGTGTATGAGGCAGCCGGTCGTTTGCCCACAGGTCCTTGCCGGGGCCCGCGCGCCGGGAACGGCGTGCGCCCACCACCCGCACGGGCTGCCCAGTCCCTTTCCCCTTCGGCCCGCACGTGGCCGGTCGTGCCGCCTTTCGAGGGCCCCCGAAGACCAAAAGCATCAAACATATTCCAGCTTGCTTTCTCCTCCTCCTTCTCCTCTTTCTCCTCCTCCTCCTCCTCCTTCTCCTCCACCTCCTCCTCCTCCTCCTCCTTCTCCTCCTCCTCTGACCTGCCTGCGGAGGGTCCACTGAGGGCCTCCGACCTTCTCCTCATCCTCCTCCTCATCCTCCTCCTCCTTCTTCTCATGTCGCCGTGACGTAGGCACTGAGCGGGGTCTCCACTGCGGTCGATGTCTAGGTGCCGGTCTCTCCATGGTTGGAGCATTCTTTCGAGAGGACATGACGTGGCTGGCCTGTGCGAGGGCTGGCTGTGGTCGTTCGGTGTCCAGCGCGTCCCCTTCCCGCGGTCCTCGCTCTCCGCCTCCCTCGTCCCCCCTGCGTTTCTGCAGCTGCCAGACGAATTCCGCGGATGCCTTCGCCCCAGGTCCAAGCAGACTTTGGAAAAGGAGGAGAAGGAGGAGGAGGAGGCGAGCGAGGAGGAGTAGGACGGCGGGGTTGGCCCAGACACCCAGCCTCGCGAGTCTTTTTTCCAGGCCTGGGCCCCAAGAGGTATCGGTGCCCCTCCCGGGGCTGGCTGTTGGCCCTGCTCCGTTTGCTCTGACGGCCCCCAGGGGCAGGGCAGCGAAGGCCTCCCCCCCCAGGATTTCTCTGTGCGCGACCCGAGGGGGGGGTCCTGGCTTCGTGCCTTCCGCCGCGCGCTTCTGCTCACGACCCGAGGGGGTCCCCTGCCACAGGCCTTCCGCCGCGAGTTCTGCTCACGTCCCGGGGTGGCGTCATTACCAGGAGGAGCCTGCCGCCGCGATCTGTGTGTCACCGAGGAGAATCGAAGAAGAACAAACGCCATACAAGAAAAACAGTTGTTGGCGCTCCAAGCAGAGTTCTTGGATCCGCGCTGGACTCCCTCCCTGGCGCGTGGAGCGCGCTGGGGGCGCGCCGTTTTCTTTTCCCCTAGAGAAAAAGGACCCCTAACCCTAATAGCATCTTGAGAGCGTGGCCTCGCCGAGGCCCCGGCCCCCGCATCAGGGATCATAGATCTGGGCGGTGTGGCCCGTTGAATCTGTGCAGCTGGCCCCCTATCCCTCATGTGTTCGGCACTCCGAACTTAGGGGTCCCCTCCCAAACGGCCAGGGGGTCCTCTTGTTGCTTATCAGGGGCGCCTGGAGGAGGAGGAGGAGGAGGAGGAGGAGGAGGAGGAGGAGGAGGAGGAGGAGGAGGAGGAGGAGAGGAGGAGGAGGAGGGGAGGAGGGGGAGGAAGGAGGAGGAGGAGGAGGAGGAGAGGAGGAGGAGGAGGAGGAGGAGGAGGAGGGAGGGGGAGGAGGAGGAGGAGAGGGGGCGCCTGGAGAGGTTGGAGCAGCAGCGGCGGCGGCGGCGGCGGAGCGCGAGGGCCTGTCGCCCTCGCGTCTCGCACGGGGCCCCGCCCGCCAGGCCACCGCCGCCGGGGCAGCCTTGGGGGCGGCGCGCGGGGCCTGCCTTCCAGGGCAACGTTTAGGGGGGAGGGATCGCAGTGGAAACCCATGCCAAGAAAGGCCCTGCCTGCCTCCAGGGTGCCCTGGGTTGCGCCAGTCTCGGTGGCTTTGCCCTGAAGAGCGTGGCGTGCCCACGCCAGAGCATCCATAGACGTCCTGGGGTCTCAGGGCTGGGTTTCTTGCGGAAGGTTTCTTGTGGTCGAGCTCCTTCTGTATGTTCAGGGGGAGATGCATCGGCCCCCACTCGCCCTCTGATCGCCGATTTGGGACGATGGCCCGGCCCGCCCAGGATCGCGCGGACTCGCTGGTCGGGGGCCTCTCGGCGACTATCGGCGAGGTACCGCCGATTCCAGCAGGTCGGTGATCCCGCCCCCGAGCCAGTCCCCCCCCTATCGTTGCCCCTCGCGCGCGCGCCCGCATGGATGCGGCGGCGCTGGTGCTGCGGCACTGCCGGGGCGGGCTGGACCCGTGGAGCTCCCTGCAGCTCTTCGGCCGGGAGCCGTATGCCAAAGGCCGCGGGAGGCAACACTACATTCTGCACGAAAGAAATGAGTACAGAAATAATGGGTACAATGCCCAACTGCAGTTCCTGTTCATTTTGAGCAGGACTCGCTGTCCGCGCCGCCGCGGCCTGTGTCCATCTGAGACACAAGGCCGCCTGCCCAACAGCGGCCGTGGATGGTTTGGGACAACATTTGCTGTTGGGCATTGTACCCATTTTTTCCGTACCCATTTCGGGCGTCCAAATATACAATCAGACCTAGTCCCCCGCAGTTGCGGATAAGAGAGAGGGGTGCCCATCCCCAGTGTCCATCTCAGTGTTCATAATGATCCCCAGTGTCCATCCCCAGTGTTCATCCCCAGTGTCCATCCCCAGTGTCCATCCCCGGTGTTCATCCCCAGTGTCCATCCCCACCGTCCATGCCGGAGGCGAACCCTTCGGAATTGCCAGCGCACGCCCGGGGAAGACGCAATCCCGTTCGGGCACCCCTCTCTCTGACGTCTTTTGTCGGAGGTCCGCTCGGCTTCCCTGGAGGATCTGGTCCCTCCTCCTCTTCCTCCTCCTCCTCCACCTCCTCCTCCTCCTCTCCTGGGGGGCGGTCCAGGGGCGCGGCGAGGGGCCCGCAGAGGCCTAACAAAACGGCGAAACGCACATCGGTCAATTGCGCTCTGTCCATGCAGTGGAGGCCCGTGCCAAGATCGATTAGGCCAACAACGGTCACTACTTCCGGAACTTCCTTGCGGCTCAAAGCGGCAAGCGCGTCGAGACGCAGCTCAAGAAGTCCTAACACCCTGCTTGCCTCCAGGGTGCCTCGGGCTTCTTGGCTTTCGGCGACTTTGTCCATCGAAGGCGTGACGCTCCCACACCCAAAGAGTCAAAGGGCGTCCTGGGGTCTCAGGGTTGGGTCTCTTGCGGGAGGGTTCCTGTGGACTGGCCTCCACTGTATTCTGGACGTCTGGGGAGGACCTGTTTCTCTTGACCTGTCTCTCCCTCAAGGCAGCGTGCCCCTGGACGAGGACCTCCTGGCGCCCCACCCGCTGGAGGGCGCCACCCGGCGCCTCCTGCGCGCCCCTCGCGCCCCGGCGCCGGAGCTGTGGGAGGCCTGGAGCTCAGGCCAGGAGGGGGCGGCAACGATAGGGGGTGGATAGGCACAGGGGGGGATGCATCGACCCCCAATCTCGGGGGTGGACAGACCTCCTACCCTGACACGTCGATTAGTGAATTGTCCGTTTTCAGTTGTCCAGAGGGCGCCGCGGCCGTCATTTTCCAGGTTTGCGCCCGCCAGGTTTGGACCTCAGGTCGTTTTCACTAAACCACGTTTTACTAAAGGGAGGTCTGTCCATCCCCGAGGATAGGCACAGGGGGGTATGCATCGACCCCCCATCGCTCATCTGATCGCCGAGAGGGACCCGAGAGCCCCACCCAGCCCAGGAAGGTGCGGAGTCGCTATCGGGGGCCATTCGCCGATCTATCGACGATGTATCGCCGATTCCAGATCGATGCATCCCCCCTACGCCTGTCCCCCCCCCCCTATCGTTGCCCCTCAAGAGGGGGGTTGCTCTGAAGTCGGCTCCTGGCCCAAGGTTCTCCAACATGGAGTCCGAGTAGATGGGGTCGGGTGATCGCGCCGCATCCCGCATCGCCGATGCATCGGCGATGCGGCTCGATGTGGAGCCCAAGTGCATCCGCGCCAGCGTCGCCGATGTATCACTGAGGTCGCCGATGCATCGGCGATGCATTGGCGATGTGTCGGCGATGCGGGGCCATCCTCGGACCCCATCGACTCGGACCCCATGCGAGAGGCCTCTCTAAAGGTGCCCCCAGCTTTCGCTACATGTCGGAGCCCCATGGGGCCCTCTGGGCCTCGTGAGGGGTGCCCTGGAGGCCGTGGGGGCCTCCTCGGAAGTTCGTTCTGGGGGCACCTTGGGCCAGGGACACTTCTGGCGACACCTGACAGGTGCGCAGGCGCTCGAGGCCTTCCGGTCAGGGGACCGCTGGGCGCCTGCACGGAAATTCCGTGCGGACGAACCTCAGCGCATCGTTCAGAGGAGGAGAGGGCCCAGACCCCCTCGGGGAATGAAACAATCATGACGGTAGGTTTTTCGCTATTTTCGGCCTCGGTGGGCCCTCGCCGGGCCTCGGGAACGTCAAACAACGACTCAGGATGAAAAACCGGTCCACGGGAATGGTTCGAAACCACCAGTGGTCGACGTAAAGGAAAAAACAATGACGTCGGGGGTCTGGGGCAGTCTGGGGGTACCAGTGTAGCTACGCCTCCCGCGTTTTCGCCTTTTCGGGCCCGGCTGGATTCGCCTCGAGGTCCTAGTCAGAACGCGCCCTGAGAGAGAGAGGTCCAGGGAATAGCAGAATCGATGCCTTTTGATTTTTCCCATAACGGGACCCCCAGACAGGCGAACCACATCCCAGATTTCTGACGGTTCCAGCCCTCGGGGTCCGCTTTCGGGACCCAGGGCCATCAAAAACGGACCCAGGGCGAAAACATTGTCCCCAGGACAGGGGTTTGGAGCTCGGGGACCGCTGATTGAGTAGATCATTTTGGCGAGTGTATGGGGCGCAGAAGCTGCCCCGAGACGGAAGGGGTCGGGACCTCCCGTGGCGCCGTGGTTTTTGAGAAAGCGCACGTCGTCGGACGTGTAGGAAACGCAGCTTTCCTGGGTCTGGGCTGGGCCCTTCTCCCCACGACCCCTCGCGGCGCCTCCGGGGTGGCCCACGTTTGTGCAGCCGTCTGCTCTTCTGAGCTCTATGCGAGGATCCTGGGGGCGTGCCGCCGTACCACCTGGAGCCCATGCTCGAGGATGCTCAGAGGGCTCCTGCAACAGCCCGCCATCGGCGTGCCTTCCCAGGCCATCCTGGGCCCTGGCATGGTGGCTAATGTTCCCTCCCGGCCGCAGTTGGCAGGGTCCGAGGTCCTGGGGCCCGAGGTGGCCCTGCCCGCCACGTCCCTGAGATCCGACGTTGTCGAGCAATGCAACGTCGCGAAACTTCACGATCGGAGGCCTTGACCCCTGCACTGTTCGGGCTGGATCTATCTGCGAGGGCCCTGCCCAGACGTGCGACGTCCTGACTTTTTCAGGACGGGGTCCCTGGAAGTCCCGACCCTTTCCCCGGGACCGGTTCTTCATCCTGCGCCATTTCTTGACGCTATCCCGAGGCCCGGCGAGGGCCCCCCGAGGCCGAGAAATGTCAGAAACCTCCTGTCCTGATTTTTTGTTGCGACACGCGGGCATGTCTGGGGCAAGCAGACGCCCGGTGACGCCGCGAGCTGCAGCGCCCCGCATCTCGGGGCCCTCCGCGGCGAGGAGAGCAGCCGGGACCTCCTGAGCGGGCTGCGGGGCGCCCGCGAGCGGCTCGAGGCGGCGGCGGCGGCGGGCGAGGGCGCGGCGGCGGCGGCGCAGGCCGCCGCCGCAGAGGTGCTGGCGGGCGCGCCGGCAGAAGGCGCGCCGGGCAGTCGTGTGGCTATAGGGGGCCTCGGTGCCGCCGGGAGGGGTGCCCAGACCTGACAGAGATCACGGCGGGAGGTTTTTGGCCAACTTCGGTTCCGGGAGCCCGGGCCTCGGGACCGTCAGAAAACACTTCAGGAGGCAAAGCCGGGCCCGGGGCAGGGGTCCAGACCTCTGGAGGTCGACGGTGCGAAAACATCGCGACGTCGGGGGCCCGGGTGTGGCCGGTGGGCCGCGGTGCCGCCAGGAGGGGTACCCACAGCGCCTCGGCAAGGCTTCGCGTGGCGCAGGGCCCCCCCCCAGGAGGTTCAAGTAGTGGCGAAGCGTCCTGGCTCGCTTATGTATAGTCCCACCAAACAATGTTCTAAGAACCTTTTGTGGTTTCCACGAAAGGTTCTTAGAACATGTCTGGCGGATATTATCTTGTTTTAACACATCGGGTTTATGTTCTAAGAACATCGTTTTTGGTCTTAGAACATGCTTGATGTCTGAGAACATGTCGTGGCATGACTATAGGAATGCTGGGACGGTCGCCCCCTGCTCAAGAGGTAGGCCGGGCTTGGCCTCAAGCGGACCCCTCGCGAGGGCCCCTCCAGGCAGTCCCCGGCTTGGCCTCCGCAGGCGCCCACGCGCAGCTCATGGGGCGGTCGTGTAAAAACGCCTCGGCGCCGCCTCCGGCGGCGCCGGCCTGGGGCGCTGGACTCCGCGCCCCAGCGGTGGGGCGCCGGCGAAGAGATCCTGGGGTCATTCGGACGGGCCCTCGACAGCGAAGTTGTTGAAAAAGCCCATGGATGTTCGGCAGTGTTGTGAACACACCTAGCGTGTCGCTCGAGACATCCTCTAGAAATTGCCTGCTCCTCCTCCTCCTCCTCCTCCTCCTCCTCCTCCTCCTCCTCCTCCTCCTCTTCCTCCTCCTCCTCCTCCTCTTCCTCCTCCTCCTCCTCCTCCTCTTCCTCTTCCTTCTCCTCCTCCTCCTCCTCCTCCTCCTCCTGTTCTTCCCGCCGGGCCCCAGGGCCGACCACGGAACGATCTGTGACGAAGCCCTGTCCGAGAGAACATGTCCAGACCTTCGGGGGGCCCACGCTGCATCGAAGTCGCGGCGTCGGGCCTCTCTTGGGGCCCAGCCGTTGGAGTGCTCTGGTTACGCGCAGGGCAGGGGCACGAACGCGCCAATGTTGCGGAGGACGGCGGCAGGAGGGCGGCAGGAGCGCGCAGTTTCCGTGCATCGACCCGAGTCTGGGATCGCGGCGCGCAGGCGCGTGCGCCGCACGCTGCCGGGTGCCACCGCTTGCGCCATTCATGGGCGCACCTCTTGGCGCACGGGCTTGACCACTGAACCCCTTCGATCCGAGTCTGGGTCACCTCAGTGCACATCGGCCTGACACCGAAGCGGGCTTGGGCAACCTGCGGGGGCCTCCCGAGGCCCGTGAGGTCCCCCCCGAAAGCGCCCAGGGTCCCCCGAGCCCCCCCCCCCGAGGTCCTCGGGAGCCCCTTCCGAGGCCCTCGAGAGACCCCACGCTGGCCCCTCCAGCCACATATCTCGTTATGTGTCCGCAACGTTGACCCCTGGAGGTCTCGACCCCTTCCAGTCAACCCGCTTTTTACCCCGCATGGATTCGTTCTCTGATTTCCACGGCGGCATGCAGGGCCCCCCCCCCGAGCAGCCGAAGATGGACAGGACGTGTCCGTCGTGTTTCGTGTTGCTTCACGGCGTGCTGGGGTCTGGGCCCCCACCCCTCCAAGATTGACCTCTGGACTCCCGGAGTGTCCCCCTCCTCCTCCTGCTCCTCCTCCTCCTCCTCCTTCTCCTGCTCCCCCTCCTCCTCCTCCTCCTCCTCCTACTCCTCCCCTCCTCCTCCTCCTCCTCCTCCTCCTCCTCATCCCCATCCTGCCTCCTCCTCCTCCTTCTCCTCCCCTCCTCCTCCTCCTCTTTGTCCTCTTCCATCCTCCGTCTCCTCTTCCTCCTCCTCCTCCTCCTCCTCCTCCTCCGCCTCCTCCTCGTCTCCTCCTCCCCTTCCCTACCCTCTTCCTCATCGTCGGCCTCCTCCTCCTCCACCTCCTCCTCCTCCTCCCTCCTCCTCCTCCTCCTCATCCTCTCTCCTCCTCTCCTCCTCCTCCTCCTCCTCCTCCTCCTCATCCCCTCCTCCTCGCTTCTCCTCGCTCTCTCTACTCCTCCTCCTCCTCCTCCTCCTCCTCCCTCCTCCTCCTCCTCCTCCTCCTCCTCCTCCTCCTCCTCCTCTCCTCCTCCTCCTCCTCCTCTCCTCCCCCCCTCTTCTCCCCCGGAGGCAGCCGAAAATGGACGAACGTGTCCACGTCCGTGTTTCGTGTTGTTCACGACGTGCTGGGGTCTGGGCCCCCCCCCCCCTTTCCAAGATTGACCTCTGGACTCCCGGAGTGCCTCCTCTTCTCCTCGCTCCTCCTCCCTCCTCCTCCTCCTCACTCCTCCTCTCTCCTGCTCCTGCTCCTCCTCCTCCTCCTCTCCTCCTCCTCCACCTCCTCCTCCTCCTCCTCCTCCCCATCCTCCTCCTCCTCCTCCTCCTCCTCCTCCTCCTGCTGCTTCTCATCCTCCTCCTGCTCCTCCTGCTCCTCCTCCTCCTCGCCTCCTCCTCCTCCTTCCGCCCCCTCCTCCTCGTCCCCCCCTCCTCTTTCTCCTCCTCTCCTCCTCATCCTCCTCCTCACCCCTCCTTCTTCCTCCTCCTCCTCCTCCTCCTCCTCCTCCTCCTCCTCCTCTTCCCTCCCTTCTTCTCCCTCTTCTCCGTCTCCCCACCCGCCTCCTCCTTCTCCTTCTCCTCCTCCTCTCACTTCCTCCTCCTCCTCCTCCTCCTCCTCCTCCTCCTCCTCCTCCTCCTCCTCCTCCTCCTCCTCCTCCCCCTTGTCCTCCAGACCCTCGAGATGTGTCCGGCCGTGGCGACGAAGAGGCCCAAAGAAGGCCGAGAGCGTCCAACACCTCCACCATCAATTGTACTGCCCGATCCTCGAGCCCCGACATCCGATAGGTTTTGGTGGTCCAACCAGACGTCCTCAAACCCAGAGGTTCTCGAACCCAGACGCCCATAGATCCTCGAACCCAGACGACATCTCGTTCCAACCATCCTGTGGTACTGGGCATGTGCTCTTACATCCGCAGCGCCCCGCGTCTCCTTCCTTCCTCCTCCCCCGCCGTCCTCCCCCTCTCCCCCTGCGCACACCACTCGCAGGGTTCGCATGCATCGCAGCGCCCATGTCGGCACACCCCTTCACACAAGTTCTGTGGCCCCGGAGGGACCTCCACCGAAGGTCCCAGTGGCAGGGATCGCATGCGTCCCCGCGCCCACTTCGGCACAACACGCTTCGTGGCCCCCCAGGGAGCTATATCGAAGGCCCCAGTGGCATTGTTCGCATGCGTGCCCACTTCGACATTCTCACAACACGTCTCGTGGCCCCATAGGGAGCTCTACCGATGGCCGCACTGCCAGCGCCCGCATGCGTAACCGTGCCCTCTGCACCAGGGCGCTCCATCGCATGCCTCCTCGGTAGGGTTCACATGCGTACTCGATTTCGGCAACCTCCTCACACGCTTTGTTGCCTCATAGGGAGCTCCACTCAAGCCTCACTGACAGGGTCCGCATGCGTGCCCACTTCGATACACGTTTCGTGGTCCCATAGGGAGTTCCACTGAAGGCCTCAGAGGCAAGAGTCGAATGCATTGCCCGCGCCGTTATCGGCAACCCCCTAACACGCTTCGTGGCCTCAGGGAGCTCCACCCAAACCGTCACTGGCAGAGTCCGCGTTTGTGCCCACGCTCACTTCCATACTCATTTCAGGGTCCGCATGCGTACCCGCGCTCATTTCGACACGCCCCCAACTCGTTTCGTGGCCCGGCAGGCGATACGAAGGCACTAGTGGCAGCGCCCGCAGGCGTGCCCGTTCCCACTTCGGCACACCCCTCGCACGTTTGGTGACCCAATGGGGAGATCAGGGAGCTCCAATGAAGGCCCCAGTGGCAGCGCCCTCATGGCTCGAGGTGCATTAATTGTGTGGCGCGCTGCCTACAAGGAGAGGGCCATATCCTACCCCGCTCGTGGTTTGCTCGCCCCTCTCCTTCGCATAACCTGCTTTATGATACTCACAGCTGCCCACGGCTAGGGTCTGCGTCAGGATGTTCCCCGCCCACGGGCAAAGCGAGGAGGAGCAAGAGTAGGTGGAGGAGGAGGAGAAGAGTATGTGGAGAGGTAGGAGGAGAGGAGGAGAGTTGGAGGAGAGGGAGAGGAGAGGAGGAGAGCAGGAGTAGGATCAGGAGGGAAGTGAGAGGAGGACGAGAGTGAGGAGGACGAGGAGGAATGAGGAGGGGTAGGAGGAGGAGGAGGAGGAGAGGAGCGAAGGGGAGGAGGAGGAGGAGGAGGAGGGGGAGGAGGGTGAGGAAGGAGAGGAGGAGGAAAGAGGAGCCCTCCGCCTTCTCCTTCCCGGCGGGGGGGCAACCCGAGAACGCCCTCGCATGCCGAGTCGTAGTTTTGCAGCGTCGAGGGGCCCACCACAATGTTGCCGTCGTGTGGAGGCATGCCGTGCGGTGCACAACGGCGAGTAATTGAAGGGGTCTCCTCCTCCTACCTCCTTCTCCCCTCCTCCTCCTCCTCCTCCTCCTCCCTCCTCCTTCCTCCTCCTCCACCTCCTCCTCCTCCTCCTCTCTTCTTCCTCTTCCTCCTCCTCCTCCTCCTCCTCCTCCTCCTCCTGGTTCTGGTTGAGGCGCACCCAAGTGGGGCGCGTTGGTGCCGAAGCCCCGGGCAAAGGGCAGGCATGCGCAGTCCCGAGTAGGGCGCTGGCAGTGGGGCAAGTGCCCGGCGCGCGTGCCCGCTCCCAGGGGGGCCGGGTGTCGCTTCATGCGAGACAGTTGTAGGGGCCCCCTGGGAGCCGCGCCTGCCACGCCACCAAATTGCGGAGCGCCAGTGCGCGAGCGCGAGTGCGCGTGTTGCCAACTGGCCGCATCGAAACAGGGATCCTCGTCGTCCTCCTCCTCCTCCTCCTCCTCCTCCTCCTCCACCTCCTCCTCCTACTCCCCCTCACTACCACCCTCCTCCTCCTCCTCCTCCTCCTCCTCCTCCTCCTCCGCTTCCTCCTCCTGCCCTCCTCCTCCTCCTCCTCCTTCTCCTCCTCCCCTTCCTCCTCCTCAGGTGCACACGGCGAGTAATTGAGGACAAGTGCCGGGATTGAAGTTTCCAATCTGCAAGAACCCTAGGCACCTCAAACCTCCACCCGCCTCTTCTGCGCGGAAGGCCTCCGCGGCGGCTGGGCGACGGCTGCTATCTCCGAGGCCTCGGGCGGTGCGAAGGGGGGGGGTTCTCACCTTCAAGGGGGTCACCACCTCTCCCAGGAGATCGAGCATCTCGACGAACAAGACAAGCCATACCTATAATTTCTCGGATGCCCGCTTGGATTTCCTGGATTGGCGTTGGGCTTCCCTGGCGGCGCCTCCGGTGCCGCTCCCAGCGCGCTCCGCGCGCCAGGGAGGGGGTCCAGCGCCGATCTGAGAACTCCGCGCGGACCTCCCGGAAATCCGAGCATTTTCCTTGGGTGGAGGGCAAAGGGTGAAATCCGAAATGCCGTTTCGATTGATCTTCGAGGCTCGAGTCTGCAACAGGCGAATCACAAGGCGGATGGCGTTTCGAGGCTCGAAAACCCATCGGAATGAGCCCAGGATGTCGAGGAATTTCCTCCAATCGAAGAGAAATGCCCATCGAAATGAGCCCCTAAAAAATAGCTCTGGGTTTCGATTTTCGAGCCTTCCACCCTAGAAGATGCTCAGGAAATTCGGCTCTCTCTTCTCCGAGGATCGCCCAGGAGGATGGGGGATGGAGGATCGGGGAGGCGCTGGACGTCTTCGGGCGTCCGCTCCCTGGAGGTGGTGGCGACCTCTTCCCCTCTCCTCTGGCGTCGCATAGAACCCCGTGCGGGCGATAATAAAGCACCCCCCCTTAACCCCCTCTGTTGTTTTATCCCCGACCACGGGGATTTATATGTGGGGAAGGCGCGGAGCCCGAACTTTCTATTCCACGGAAAAGTTTGGGGGATCGAAGTTGTTATCGTATCATGCGGATTAGCAACAGCATCAAAAGGACGGTTCCAAAGGATGCCGTGTTTGCGTGGGAGAGTGGTTCGAAGTCCAGCGCAAGAGGGGTCTCTTGGCCAGATCGGCCAAGGCCCTCTCTTGCGCTGGCAAAATCTAGGCGCCTGCCTCAGCCTCAGCCTGCATCAGCCTCAGCCTCAGCCTCAGCCTGCCTCAGCATCAGCCTGCCTCAGCCTCAGCCTCAGCCCCAGCCTGCCTTAGCCTCAGCCTCAGCCTGCTTCAGCCTCAGCCTCAGTCTGCCTGCAGCCTTGGCCTCAGCCTCAGCCTGCTTCAGCCTGAGCCTGCCTCAGTGTCAGCCTCAGCCTCAGCCTGCCTCAGCATCAGCCTGCCTCAGCTCCAGCCTCAGTCTGCCTCAGCCTCAGCCTCAGCCTGCTTCAGCCTCAGCCTCGGTCTGCCTTCAGCCTCGGCCTCAGCCTCAGCCTGCCTCAGATTCGGCCTGCATCAGCCTCAGCCTCAGCCTCAGCCTGCCTCACCATCAGCCTGCCTCAGCCTCAGCCTCAGCCTGCCTCAGCCTCAGTCTCAGCCTGCTTCAGCCTCAGCATCAGCCTGCCTTCAGCCTCGGCCTCAGCCTCAGGCTGCCTCAGCCTCAGCCTGCATGAGCCTCAGCCTCAGCCTGCATCAGCCTCAGCATCAACCTGCCTCAGCCTCAGCCTCAGCCTGCCTCAGCCTCAGCCTCACATGCTTCACCTCAGCCTCAGTCTGCCTCGCCGCGCTCCGACCTCATCTGCCGTCACCTCAGCTGCATCAGCCTCAGCCCTGCATCGCCCAGCCTCAGCACAGGACCTGCCTCAGCATCACCTGCCTCAGCCTCAACCTCAATCCTCCTCTGCTCAGCCTCAGCCTGCCTCCCGCCCTCAGCCTCATCTGCCTGCAGCCTGGCCTCAGCCTCAGCCTGCCTCAGCCTTCACCTGCAGCTGCCTCAGCTGCACAGCCTCAGCCTCAGCCTCAGCCTGCCTCAGCCTCAGCCTGCTTCAGCCTCAGCCTCAGCCTGCCTCAGCCTCAGCCTCAGCCTCAGCCTGCTTCAGCCTCAGGCTCAGTCTGCCTTCAGCCTCGGCCTCAGCCTCAGCCTGCTCAGCCTCAGCCTGCATCAGCCTCAGCCTCAGCCTCAGCCTGCCTCAGCATCAGCCTGCCTCAGCCTCAGCCTCAGCCTGCCTCAGCCTCAGCCTCAGCCTGCTTCAGCCTCAGCCTCAGTCTGCCTTCAGCCTCGGCCTCAGCCTCAGCCTGCCTCAGCCTCAGCCTCAGCCTCGACCTCTCGCCTAGCTCAGGCCTGCCTCACCATTCAAAATGTGGCCCGGGAATGGGTTCTGGGGACTCGAAGACACGAAGTGGCCTTCAGATGGCTGCTCGCGGCATTCAAAATCATGCCCGGGAATGGAGTTCTGGGAACTCGAAGCCACGAAGTGGCCTACAGTTGGCTCCGAGCATTCAAAACCATGCCCAGGAATGGAGTTCTGGGAACTCGAAGACCACGAAGTGGCCTACAGTTGGCTCCGGGCATTCAGAATCATTTCCAGGAATGGAGTTCTGGGAACTCGAAGAACACGAAGTGGCCTACAGTTGGCTCCGGGCATTCAAAATCATGCCCAGGAATGGAGTTCTGGGAGCTCGCAGACCACGAAGTGCGTTACTGTTTCTGCTAAACAAGGAGTCTCCGGCATCCTCCCCCGGATCGCGCCCAGACCCCCCTGGGGCGTCATGATGCTCTCTTTTGACCTTACTAGAAACCTATCCGTTTTTGCTGTTAGGTAATAGCCTGGGAATCTCAGCCTGCCTCAGCATCAGCCTGCCTCAGCGTGTGCAGCCTTAGTCTGCCTTCAGCCTCAGCCTCAGCCTCAGCCTGCCTCAGCCTCAGCCTGCATCAGCCTCAGCCTTAGCCTCAGCCTGCCTCAGCATCAGCCTGCCTCAGCGTCTGCTTCAGCCTGCCTCAGCCTCAGCCTCAACCTCAGCCTCAGCCTCAGCCTGCCTCAGCCTCAGCCTGCGTCAGCCTCGGCCTCAGCCTCAGCCTGCATCAGCCTCAGCCTGCTTCAGCCTCAGCCTCAGCCTCAGCCTCAACCTCAGCCTCAGCCTCAGCTTGAGCCTGCATCAGCCTCAGCCTCAGCCTTGCTCTGCCTTAGCCTCAGCCTCAGCCTCAGCGGTGGATTCCCCATAGCCACTGGCGGCGCTGGGGGCCTCAGCATCAGCCTCAGTGGTGGATTCCCCATAGTCACTGGCGGCGCTGGGGGCCTCAGCCTCAGCCTCAGTGGTGCGTTCCCCATAGTCACTGGCGGCGCTGGGGGCCTCAGCCTCAGCCTCAGTGGTGCATTCCCCATAGTCACTGGCGGCGCTGGGGGCCTCAGCCTCAGCCTCAGTGGTGCGTTCCCCTTAGTCACTGGCGGATCCGCGGATTCTCCCCGGATCCTGCACGGACCCTCCTGGGGAGTCATGATGCTTTCTTTTGAGACAGACCATTAGAAACCTATCAGTCTTCGCTGTTAGAAGCATCATTATTGAATCGCTTCGCTCATTCCGCCGGCCCATTTCGCATGACTGAGCCGCGCATATCCGCCACCGCGCTTGTGGAAGACGCGTAGCTGGGTAGCAGCGGGGCGAGAGTGGCAAGATGGCCCGAGAGACCTCTGCAGACTTTCGAGATTAGCCGGGGCTGTCCAGGAGGGCCGAAAAGTTTCGAAGGGGATCCTGCCACCGTGCCGTGGTAGAAGGCTAGAGTCCTCCTGGGTACGCTCTGGGTCGCTTCGGAGAGCTCTAGGCAGTTTCTTAGGATGAAGTGTTGATGATTATTTTTTGGGGCCTGTTCGGAGCCTTGCCGGATTTGGGGACTTTTGGGGGTTGTGGTGGGCTCTTAAACGCGTCGGGTCGTTGGCATTTGCTTGCGTGCTGGAGGGGGCATTTGGGGAGCCTCTTGGGGCCGCTGGGGGGCCTCTTCAGCGTCGCTTGGGGGCCTCCTGAGGGCCTCTTGGGGGCTTTGGGGGCCTCTCAGGGGCCTCTTGAGGCTTCCTGGGGGCTTCTTAAGGCCGAGGGCTCGAAGTTTTGTTTTGTGTTCCCCCTTTGGGGCATCGCCTGGGGCCCTCTTGGGCCCCTCTTGGGCCGTCTTGGATGCCTCTGGGGCCGTCTTGGAGCTCTCTTGGGCCATCTTGGGGCCTTCTTTGGAGCTTCTTGGGCCCTCTTGGGGCGATCTTGGGGGCCTCTTGGGCCGTCTTGGGGCGTCGGGAAGCCAGAAAGATGGACACGCCAAAATCTGCCCAAAACCTGATGAAAAGTAATGATTTGTGCCTCTTGGGGCCCTCTGGGGAGTGCTCTTGGAGGCCTCTTGGGGCGTCTGGAGGCCATCTTGGGCGTCTTGGAACGATCGTGTGGCATCTCGGAGCACTCTTGAACCATCTTGGAGGGCTCTTGGCGGCCTCGTGGCCCTTCTTGGGGCTCTCTGGAGGGCCACGGGGGCGGCGCCCAGGAGGAAAACCATCTCTGATCCGAGTCTGCCGGGGATCGCCCGGGGTACTTTTCGTCCGGGGACCCCCAGGGGCCGCCCCGCGCGCGCGAAGTATAAGTATTATTTAGCAGTTTCCGGAGATCTTAGCACGCCTCTGGCCCGTTGGGCCGGCGATTTTTTGGGGGGTGGCTCCTGGGCCTCTCGCCGATCGATTTGGGACTGCCACCCGCCTGCGTGCACGCCTTGCCATGGATTTCCGGTCTCCCCCCGTGCCAAGGATCCGGGGGGGTCCGTTTCGGGGGGGGGGGTCGCACCCCCCTTGATTATATAAACATATAGGACAGGGAATCTGAGAGGGGGGGCGGCAGGGGCCTCTGGTGATTTCGACCCCTTCCCAGCGGGGCTGGCTTCTCGTGAGTAGTTTCTCTATGTACGGGTGCCCTGAAGCGGCTCCCAGCATACGAATACGTCACGACGTTGCAGTGGAAACCCATGCCAAGAAACACCCTGTTTTCCTCCAGGGTGCCCTGGTTTTCTGTGGTTTCGTCGGTTTTGCCATGGCAAGCGTGACCTCCCCGCGTCACATACGAATCGACGCCCAGGGGTCTCAGGGTTGGGTTTCTTGTGGAAGGTTTCGTGTGGTCTGTTTCCTAATGCAGCCGTCGCGTGTGTTCCAGGCGTCGCCCGAATATGATCAGGTATGCCCATCATGAGGATGAATCGCCCAGAGCGCTCTGGAACGGCCGCGGCGCCCGATGCGTCCTCCAGAGTTGCCAGATCTCCGAGATTCCCGACCTATTTCCAGTCGGATTGATCCTTATGCTGCATTCGCCTGGATCTGAGGGTTTCGTCGCCTGCTGCCGAGGTCCGATGGGCTTCGCCTGGATCTGCCGTGGAGGGTCAGCACCGCAGCCGCAGACTTGCTATCTCTCTTCGCAGCATGCTTCTCGAGCCGGATCAACTCGTGAGGGCCCCAGGAGGCTCCGAAGCAGAGCGAGGACCGTCCGGCGCGAAACAAACATGCAGCTGTTCTCAGTGGTTCGGCGGCGCGCACGGAGGGTGGTGCCGCGAGGGGGGGGGAGGGCCCAACAACGGCGGCGGGGGGGGGCGCATCGAAGGCCCCAAGCACGGCGGAGGAAGGCCCCGCAGAAGGCGGCGGCGGCCTTTCCAGGAGCGCCCCGGGGTGCCCGAGAAGGCTGCTCAGAGGCCCGGGCGCCCGTCAGAGGAGGCCCCCGCCTTCGGAGAGGCCCACCTGGCTTCCCCCTCACGCCCCCCCCCCGTTGCGCGCGCCGCCGAGCCGGGACATCCGCCGACGGGAGGTCGGTCAATCCGCGGCCCCACAGGCCCCGACCCCGACCCCTTTTCCCTCGAGCTAGCTTTTCGTGCCAGATCCGTCCTTGACCGCCTCGGGGCCCGATAATATCCCTCGACGAAGCTGTTCGTCCCAGATCCGTCCTTGACCGCCTCGGGGCCCGATAACAGGTCCCAGAGGCCGCAAGTCGGGAAACGCACCCGCATTCAAACAGACATGACAGACATCATCGGAGAGTTGCGCCGCGCGCCGCCAAGTGAGCGACGGAAGAAAACGGTGTCGTCTGCGCCGACCTTCGTGCCCAAGTCTCCCGCGCAAGGTCGCGCGTCAGCGCCCTCTCCTCCACGCGGGGTGTGTCACGCTGGCGGCCCGCGTAAGCCGCGGCGTAAGGTCACTGTGTCTTCGCACGTAAGACCAGCTTCTGTTCGTCGCCCAGACGCTCCCCTTCCCCCCCCCCTCTCTAAGGTCGGGAGTTATCCATAACCGCCGCCGCCGGGATCGATAGTCGGGGTCCTCGGCAGGCCATGGATCTGCACAGGTTCGGGCCGACTGGGGCCAAAAGATATCGATATCCACCGCCCGTTGGGTTCCCACGACGTCGGTTCCAAAGGCGGCGGATGCATGTAGCACCCCGCAGTTAATGGAGGCGGGGGTCGTGTTCGCACGGCGGCGCCCGGGATGACGATTAGAAAAAACCGGCCGCGGGCTGGAAAACTATGTGTTTCATCGTTCTCCTCCAGTCAGAAAATTATGCCGAAATAGCAGAAAACTTTTTGTTTTTATCGTTCACTCTCATTTTTTTAATTAATCGTCATCCGGCATTATGCATAAGAGTGAGGGGGCGGGCACGGGTTGGGTCGCGGGTGGGTCGCGGGCGAGTCGCGGGTGGGTAGCGGGGTGGGTCGCGGGTGGGTCGCGGGCGGGTCGCGGGCGGGTCGCGGGCGGGTCGCGGGTGGGTCTCGGGCTGGTCGCGGGCGGGTTGCGCAGTGGGTCGTGCGGTGGTCCGCGGGTGGGTCGCGGGTGGGACGACGACACCAAAGAACAAGCAGCAGCAGCAGCAGCAGCAGCAGCAGCAGCAGCAGCAACAACAACAACAACAGTCCGCACCGCGGAAGCCCATTGCAGCCATGTACCCAGGGACAGTGAATGGCCGTTCGGCCCCTTCATTTTGGTATCAGTATATGTATATGTATACATATTTATGTATACATATATATATATATATATATATATATCCCGTGGCCGAGGTGCTCGACGCGGCGGACGCCCTGCGCGCGCTGCGCCGGGAGCTCGGCAAGGCGGAGGAGCTGCCTGCCCAGGAGAGGCTGCGGGAGGAGGAGGGGCTGCGGGAGGAGCCGGCTGCCCAGGCGGGGCCTCGCCCGCAAACCTTTCCCCCCCTCCCTCTCCTCCTCCTCGGTCTCCTTGTCCTCCCCGTCCACCTCCGCCTCCTCCTCCTCCTCCTCCTCCACCTCCTCCTCCTCCTCCTCCTCCTCCTCCTCTCCTCCTCCTCCTCCTCCTCCTCCTCCCCCTCCTCCTCCCCCTCCCCCTCCCTCTTCTCCCTTCTCCTCCTCCTGTCCTCCTCCTCCCTCCTCCTCCTCCTCCTCCTCCTCCTCCGCCTCCTCCTCCTCCTCCTCCTCCTCCTCCCTCCTTCTCCCTCCCCCTCCACCTTCCCCTTCCCCCCCCTCTCCCTCCCATCCTTGTTCTTCTCTTCTTCCCTTCTCCTCTCATTGGTGGTGTTGGTAAACACCGTTTGCGCGCGCCGGGCGTGTGGCCGATTGGGGGCCGCAGGTTGCCGACCTCGACCATGGCCTTCGGCTTGCCTTCCCGCCGCCTCCATGTCCGTTCCCCGTCAGGTGGTTACCCGCATTGCGTAGTTGAGCTCGCGCTAGCGGGCGCATCGGCCGAACGTGTGGTCAGGTGTATCTTTCGATGTGGTTTCCTAACTATCTCGTCTGCCCCCCGTCTTCCCCCCGTTCTTTCCCCTTTTTGTTCGGTGTCACCGCACGGTTTTTCGCCTGCTCGGTACTGTGCGTATTATCTGTTACTGACGTCGTGCGAGTCCTTGGTCTGTGAGTGGCCGCTTGGACCACAGGGCTGCTCTTCTCGATGTGTTGATGGGATGGATGTGGAAATCGGTGGTACAGTTTCTTGAGTCACAGCGCTTCAGACTGAAGTCCCCCCAACTGCTGACTGTCCCCCATTCCTGACCCCTCGGCCTTCCCCTCTTGCTTGACCTCGCTGCTTGTCCGTCCTGTCATCATGCTGTTTGGGTCTCTGTGTTGGTTGCAAGGTCTCGGTGGTTCCTCGGCCATCATGTTTGTGTTCTGTGTACTGCCCGGCATTTGTAGCAAAGGGTTGCCGCGTGATGTGGGCAGACGATCGATGAAATTGCCCGGGTGTCCCGCAGGGGCGCGGGGCCGCTCCGCCGCTGGCCTCGGACGAACGTGCCCTCCCAGCGACGTTCGTCCCTCCTCCACCATTGTTTCCCCGGTCCCGCTCGGTCGCTCGCCCGCTCGGTTCGCTCGCTTGTTCGCCCGCCCGGTTCGATGCTCTTTCTGGGGACCTTCCTGGGGCCCACCTAACGGATCTGTTCGACTCAGGTTCGACTCAAGTTCGACTCAAGCTCGACTCAGATTCGACTCAGATTCGACTCAGGTTCGACGCAGCTTCGACGCAGGTTCGACTCAGGTTCGACTCAGGTTCGACTCAGGTTCGACGCAGCTTCGACGCACGAGTGGAACGAGTGGCTCCAGGAAGGTCCCCAGAAGGAGCATCTAAGCCCTGTCGGTTCGCCCGGGCGACCGACAGGGTCAAGTCGTCATCGCCCAGTCCGGTCGTTCGTTGGCACGCTCATGCCTCCCTCGGCCCGCTTGTGCGCTCTCCCGCTCGTCCGGTTCTTCCTCGCAAGCACGATCCCGCCTGCGCTCGTACGGTCGGCTCGCTCGGCCACTTTCGTTCGATTCATTCGCGGCCGCCTGCTTCCCAGTTATTTCCCAACCATCCTGTGGTGTTGGGTCCTCGTTTTGAAGAGACGGCGCCCCGCGTTCCTCACCTCCTCTTCCTCCCCCCCCCTCCCTCCTCCCATCATCATCATCATCATCATCATCATCATCATCATCATCATCATCATCATCATCATCATCATCATCATCATCATCATCATCATCATCATCATCATCATCATCATCATCATCATCATCATCATCATCATCATCATCATCATCATCATCATCATCATCATCATCATCATCATCATCATCATCACCACCGATTTCGGCACACCCCTCACACGTTTCGTGGCCCCATAGGGAGCTCCACCGAAGGCCCCAGTGGCAGGGTCCGCATGCCTCCCCACCACCCATTTCGGCACACCCCTCACACGTTTCGTGGCCCCATAGGGAGCTCCACCGAAGGCCCCAGTGGCAGGGTCCGCATGCCTCCCCACCACCCATTTCGGCACACCCCTCACACGTTTCGTGGCCCCATAGGGAGCTCCACCGAAGGCCCCAGTGGCAGGGTCCGCATGCCTCCCACCACCCATTTCGGCCACCCCTCACACGTTTCGTGGCCCCATAGGGAGCTCCACCGAAGGCCCCAGTCGCACACCACACCCCTCACACGTTTCGTGGCCCCATAGGGAGCTGGCAGTCCGCATGCCCCCCACCACCCATTTCGGCACACCCCTCACACGTTTCGTGGCCCCATAGGGAGCTCCACCGAAGGCCCCAGTGGCTGGTCCGCATGCTCCCCACACCCATTTCGGCACACCCCTCACACGTTTCGTGGCCCCATAGGGAGCTCCACCGAAGGCCCCAGTGGCTGGTCCGCATGCCTCCCCACCACCCATTTCGGCACACCCCTCACACGTTTCGTGGCCCCATAGGGAGCTCCACCGAAGGCCCCAGGGTCCGCATGCCTCCCCACCACCCATTTCGGCACACCCCTCACACGTTTCGTGGCCCCATAGGGAGCTCCACCGGAGGCCCAGTGGAAGCGTTCGCATGCCTCCCCACCACCCATTTCGGCACACCCCTCACACGTTTCGTGGCCCCATAGGGAGCTCCACCGAAGGCCCCAGTGGCAGGGTCCGCATGCCTCCCCACCACCCATTTCGGCACACCCCTCACACGCTTCGTGGCCCCATAGGGAGCTCCACCGAAGGCCCCAGTGGCCTGGTTCGTATGCCTCCCCAACACCCATTTCGGCACATCCCTCACACGTTTCGTGGCCCCATGGGGATTTCCACTGGAGGCCCCAGTGGTTGCGTTCGCATGCGCCCCCACAGCCATTTCGGCACACCCCTCACACGTTTCGTGGCACCATAGGGAGCTCCACCGAAGGCCCCAGTGGCTGCGTTCGCATGCGGCCCCCACACCAATTTCGGCACACCCCTCACACGTTTCGTGGCCCCACAGGGAGCTCCACCGAAGGCCCCAGTGGCAACGTTCGCATGCCGCCCCCACACCAACTTCGGTGCACCCCTCACACGTTTCGTGGCCCCATAAGGACCTCCACCGAAGGCCCCAGTGGCAACGTTTGCATGCCGCCCCCACACCCATTTCGGCACACCCCTCAAACGGTTCGTGGCTCCATAGGGCGATCCACCGAAGACGGTACTCACACCAGCATTACTCACAACTGCATATGGTTGGGTCCTTCGCCAGGCTAATTTATCCGTCCTTTCACGCGTGCGCTCTTGCCCGAATCGCGCGTGACATTCCCTACTTGTGTGGCGGTTTTTGTGCTCCACTTCGTGAAGCCAGTAGGCGCTGGTCAGGAAAACAACAAGCGTTCGCCTGGATCACTCGCCCGCCAAGCGAGGAGGCGTATCGAGCGAGCGGACGAGGGGACGTCGTCCTGCTCAGCTGAGTCTTGCGCCGACCGAACGGGCGCACCGGGCGAGCTGGCGACTGGATCCAGCGAGTGACCGAGCAGATGCCGCTTGGTCCATTCGTTCGTTCCGCTCGCTCGACTGGCGTCGGCCCGCGTTGTCGGTGGCTGTCCCAGGTCTTGAGCCCGTGGTTGGCCCACGAGGCCCTCGCATGGTCGGTGGGCGCCGGCCGAGTGGAACTGAACGGCCGCATCTTTTCTGGGCCTCCCACATGGGGTCGGAGTAGATCGCATCGCCGATGCATCGGCGACGTGGCTCCATGTGGAGCCCGGGCTTCTTCATGCCGATGGCGCCGATGCATCGCCGATGCATTGGCGATGCGGTGCGTTCTTCTGACCCCATGTGTTTGGACCCCATCCAGGAGGTTTCGAATCTGGACACGCGATTGGGGGCCTTGGACGGGCTGTTTCTTTGATGCAGGCGATGTGCGTCATGGGGCGACGCTGGCCCTCATCCTCCCCTCCCACCTTCCTCGCCGTACCTCTCGCCCGTCTGACTTTTCCTGCTCCCCCGTTTCTCCACCGGGGAGGAGGGTCGATGGTGGGGGAGGGGGGCACATGGGGAGGAGCAAACATAACAGGAGGTATGAAGTGGAGGAGCAGGGGGGGAGAAAAGGAGTGAGGAGGGAGGAGGGGGAGTGGGAAGTTGAGGAAGAGGAGGACGAGGAAGAGGAGGAGGAGGAGGAGGAGGAGAAGGAGGCAGGAGGATGACAAGAAGAGAGGAGCGGGGAGGAGGATGATCTGGAGTGGGTAGCGAAGAAATGGAACTATCAAGAAGAGAAGGAGGAGGAGCTGGAGGAGGAAACGGAGAAAGAGGAGGTGGAGAAGGAAGAGAAGATGAGGAGGGTGGACGAAGACGGGGAGGTCGGAGGTGCGCTGGGCATCGGGGGAGGAGGACGGAGGTCCGCGGACGAGGTCGGAGGTGGGAGGGGCATCGGGCGCACCGCCACCACGGCCCGCCTCCGGGGAGGCATGCCCATCCAAAGCCACGGCCCGCCTCCGGGGAGGCACGCGGGCGCTCCCGCGCGCGCGCGCCAGCGAGCGCGCGCGCGCGCTCGGGGCGGCAGCCGCCCCCGCCGCAGGCGGAGAAGTTCGCGGAGGGGGGGCCCGTGAGCGGGTTGGCCCTCGTGGGCGAGGTGGAGGCCTTCGTGCAGGCCCCGCCGCCCGCTCAAGAGGGAGGGAAAGAGAGAGAGAGAGAGAGGGTGACCCAGGCGTGTCCAACGCCACGGAGAAAGCACAGACCTCCAGCGATTTGTGCTTTCCCTCCTCCTCCCCGTCCGCCTCCCCCTCTTCCTCCCTCTCCTCCTCCTCCTCCCCCTCCTCCTCCCCCTCCTCCTCCGCCTCCTCCTCCCCCGCCTCCTCCTCCTCCTCCTCCTCCTCCTCCCCCTCCTCCTCCTCCACCCCCTCCTCCTCCTCCCCCTCCTCCTCCCCCTCCTCCTCCGCCTCCTCCTCCATTCCTTTCCTTATGCATAACTTCTCCCTGTCGCACCCCGAGGCAAGTGTTTATGGCGGGCCGGGCGTTTCGCCTGAGACTTCGCCGCTATTGATGATTTTGAAGATTGAGAAGCGACAGCATTTCCACAGATGGAGGGCGGGTCGTTTTCAAAATGTGGCTCTCGCCTTTGCGCCGCGCACATTATTTTTAAACATTTGCGAGAGCTTCACGAATTGAGGGCGGCTCCTTTTCGAATTGTGGCTCTCGCCTTAGCGCCGCGCACATTCGTTCTACAAAGTTGCAAGATGTCCATGGATTGAGGGCGGGCCGTTTTCAAAATGTGGCTTTCGCCTTTGCGCCGCGCACATTCTGTTTAAACATTTGCGAGAGCTTCACGGATTGAGGGCGGCTCCTTTTCGAAAATTAGTTCTCGCTTGAGCGCCGTGCACACTCGTGTTAAACAGTTGCAAGAGCTTCACGGATTGAGGGCGGCTCCTTTTCAAAATGTGGCTCTCGCTTTAGCGCCGCGCACATATCTGCAAAGGTTTCACGGATTCCCACGATCAGCGTACCAAATATGTTGTTTTGGAAGGATTCAGGATCATACGGACGCAACAGTTATGTTGGCTCGCGGTGCCGAAGTCCCGAAAATGGCGATCTGGGACGGTTCCAAATCGTCAGGACGCAGCAGTCAGGTTCATCCTATCGTAGAAATCCCGAGGTCAATGTTTTGGCATGATCCCAGGTCTTCACACGGTTGTCCTCCAACGAGGCAGTTCCTTCTCAATGGACATGACCGTTGTAATTAGGGGCCTCTGAAGAGGGAGTTTGGAGGGAAGGTTGATTCCAACATCGTTGATGACTCCTGGGTTTGCACTGGTCCTCCTCCTCCCTCCTCCTCCTCCTCCTCCTCCGCCTCCTCCTCCTCCTATTCCTCTTCCTCCTGCTCCTCATCCTCCCCTTCCTCCTCCTCTTCCACGGCTGCCTCTGCTCGGCTTCTACCTCTGGGGCTCGGGCCTCGGGACTCTCAGCAACGGATCTCTGGGACGAAAGTCTGCCCCCAGGCCAACGGGGTCGGGCTTGCGGAGGCCGCGGAAGGAGAGCAGCAGCACAAAGGTGAAGAGGCGGGCCGAGGAGCAGGAGAAGCACAGCCGTGAAGCCTTGAGGAAGAAGAGAAGCACACCCGTGAATCGAAGAAGAAAGCTGGGCCCCCCCCCAGCGGCGCCTCCAGCGCCGCGCCTGGCGCGCTCCGCGCGCCATGGACGGGGGGTCCGGTGCAGATCCAAGAAATCCGAGCGGAGCGCCGAAGGTTTCTGTTTAGGGCGCTCTTTCTCCTGCTGGGGAAGCCCTGGGGAAGAAGAGGTGCAGCCGGGACGGGGATGAGAGCACGGCCGTGCGCACCGTCGTGGCCTTCGGGGCCAAACACGTAGCCAGCATGGAGGCGAGGGCAAGGTTCCGAAAGACAGCATGGGGAGGGCTCGGGTGCAGCGGTTGCCGGAGCGGGTGTCCTCGGCCTGCGCGCTCCCCTTGTGGGACGTTTCGGTCGTATTCTGCACCCGGGTTAGAGCCCTCTTCGTCTTCGGCTTCCGGGGGTCCTCGCCGGGCCCTGGGAGCGGCAACAATAACGACTCTGGATGAGAAGCTGGCCCTGGGAAAAGGGTCACGGCTCCTGGGAACCTCGCATTGGATCACTTTCAAGCAACTCAGCATCACAAGGATAGGCACCAAGCGTGATGCTGCTTCGACAAGAATGATACGGGGATTGGCTGTAATTACGTGTGCCATATGTGACAGCGTTGCCGACGAAATTCGCGCCCGTCAACCCTGTTTGGAACGAGACCAGCATTCCGAATGTTCCGATAATGCAAAACTCCATTGTCCTCGCCGCCCTCTTCTGCCTCTCCGTTTCTCGCTCACCCGACGTTCACCCCTCTCCTCGCTCTTCCTCCTGCTCCTCCTCTCTTGTATTTTCCAGCAGCTCCGCCCCGGGCCGCACCTGGGTCTGGCGCCGCCCGTGTGGGGCCTGAAAGTGGGCAGGTCTGGCCCCCCCAGCTTCCCTGCTGCGCCCGACAGACAGTTAGAGTTACGTCGGGCATGCCCCTCTATAGGAGAAGTATTCAAACAATAGTACAAACATTGCCCGGCGACGATTTTTGTTCCTACAGTTATTATTATTATTATTATTAGTATTATTATTATTATTATTATTATTTCTTATTATTATTATATGTTTGGACTATTTTTAGTTTGTCGTCCCCAATCCGCCTGTAGGGGGACATGCCCGACCTAAAGTTAGTGGGTTGTCGAAGGGGCGCTCCCTCTCGAGACATCTTCGAAATATGACCCCACGACCCTCAGTCACAGCCATCCGCAGCGGCCAGAGGTCCCGCGCCGACGGAGCGACGGTCGGGCTTGGGCTTAAGTCGAGCCTGTACCTCTACAGGAGGAATATCCAACAATAGTCCAAACATCGTCTGGGAGCGTTGCTTTGAGGATGCTTCAATATGTTCCGGATATGGTTTCGCTATGCTTTATTCTTTCGTCCACAATCCCCCTGCAGGGGGACGGGCCCGACCCAAGCTTGGGCGCAGGGGGGGGCGGGGACCCGCCGCCCGGGTTCGGGAGGGCGGCTGCGAGGCGAGGTCGGCCCGAAGGCTGCCCCCTATCGTTCAGTCGGGCCTGTCCCTCCACAGGAGGAATATTCAAAAGTTATTAAAAGATGTCTGGGGCGATTTTTGGATTAGTCCCCAGCATTGTTGGATTATTTTTGGAGGATGCTTAATATTCGCCCAAAGCCCGCCTGTAGGGGGACATGCCCGACCTAACCCTATCATGCGGCCTGCCTGCTCTGGGGTGGGCAGAGGAGAGAGGGTGGGGTCTGGGGAAGAGCCGCCCCCCTCCCTTCCCCGCTCCTCCCTCTCCGCGTCCTCTTCCCCCCTCCCGTGGCGCTCCAGTGCTGGGGAAGGCGAGGGCGGGCGCGCGAGGAAAGAGCTGGTGCCACTTAGTGGCGGCAGGGGTGTTCGTTCACGCGAGGCCCCGCGCAGAGCGCGTTGTGTGTTGCAGGTAAACCATTGCAATAATCACGGCAGGCATCGGATGTCTGGGGAGGAGGGGAGAGAGCGAGAGAGAGAGACAGAGAGAAACATAGCTATATATATAGAGAGAGAGAGAGAGAGAAAAAAAAAAACAAACAAAAAAAAGAGTCGGCCACGAGCAGAGGGGGCTACGGGGAGGGGGGAAGGCTTCTTAGAAACACCCCTGCTTCTTAGAATGCGCTGGCCTTGTCAATAGATAGAAGGGCGGCGCCTTCTACGTAGTAGCCTCCTTCTGAGAAGCCTTCCCTTGTACCCCATACCCCCCTGTGCGCGCCGCCAGGAGAGACAGAGAAACAAACAACAAACACACCCTCCTAGTGGTATGGATCCCCACCCGCTGCTGGCATCGCTCCCGGAGCAACAGACACCGAGAATCCCCGACGCCGCAATGTGGTCTTCGTGGTGAATCCCCAGAGGTCCCGACCTTCTCCCCAGGACTGCTTTTCGCTTGCTGCAATGGGCACACCTCGTAAGAAATCGGCCTGTCAGCTGGTGCCCCGATCGTTTCTCATGTCCAGGTGGGGCCGCGGAGCCTAGGGGGCACCTTGCGAAGCTCAGAGCCGACAGGGTGCGTCCCTGGCGAGATCTCTAATCGTGTGTGCCCGCTGTGCCCCGGGTCTTGCTTGACGGCCCTGGGGGCCCCCAGCGCCTTGATGTCTTGATGTTGCACGTTGTTCCAGCCGGGCGCTGTCGCCCAGCCTCGCCCCCACGGGGTGCTCACGGATCGATCGGGCTCGAGAAGTGCCCGGCGAAGCTCGGGTCCAGGTCTCCAGTCGTGATGTTTGGGGCTGCTGCATGCTTGCACGACGTGGGATCTCAGGGAGGCCAGACAGCGCGGGGCGACCTGCCTCGACCATTTCTCAGCGAGAGAGGGGGAGGAGGGGAGGAGGAGAAGGAGGAGGAGGAGGAGGAAGTGCAGCAGGAGGAAGAGGAGGAGGAGAAGGAATAGGAGGAGGAGGAGGAGGAGGAGGAGGAGGAGGAGGAGGAGGAGGAGGAGGAGGAGGAGAAGGATGAGGAGGAGGAGGAGGAGGAGGAGGACGAGAGGAGGAGACGCAGGAGGAGGAGGTGAAGGAGGAGGAGGAGGTGGAGGAGGAGGAGGAGGAGGAAGAGGAAGAGGAAGAGGAGGAGGAGGAGGAAGACGAATAATAATAATAGTAATAACAATAATCATACTAATACTAATAATAATACGAATACTAATAAGAATACTATTAATGATAATAATATTATTAATAATAATAATACGAATAATGATATTCATAATACTAACAATAATAATGCGACTAAGACTAATAATACTACGAAACATACTACTTATAATCATCATGGTAACAAGAGAAGAATAATCAACATACGAATACTAACAATACGAATAATACGAATACGAACAAGACGCCATAATAATAAGACGCATGATGCTTCGAAAAAGGAAAATACCAATGATAAGAAATTAATCAGAAGAACACTAAGAAGAAACCGAGGAATCCGAATCTGATTATTAATAATACGACGATGACGACGACGAAGAAGAGGAGGAGGAAGAGGAGGAGGGGGGGAAGGGGAGGAGGAGGAGGAGGATGAGGAGGAGGAGGAGGAGGAGGAGGAGGAGGAGGAGGATAGAGGAGGAGGAGGAGGAGGGGAGGAGGAGGGGGAGGAGGAGAAGGCGAGGCGGAGGCGGAGGCCCAGGAGGAGGAGGAGGAGGAGGAAGAAGAAGAAGAAGACGAGGAGGAGGTCTCGGAGGAGGAGGAGAGGCGCTGGAGGAGGAGGAGGAGGAGCAGGAGGAGGGCAGGAGGACAGGAGCAGGAGGAGGAGGAGGACAGGAGGAGGAGAAGGAGGAGGAGGAGGAGGAGGAGGAGGAGGACAGGAGGAGAGGAGGAGGAGGAGGAAGTGGAGGAGGAGGAGGAGGAGGAGGAGGAGGAGGAGGAGGAGGAGGAGGAGGAGCGGGAGGAGGAGGAGGAGGAGGAGGAGGAGGAGGAGGAGGAGCAGGAGGAGGAGGAGGAGGAGGAGGAGGAGGAGGAGGGGAGGAGGAGAGAGGAGGAGGAGGAGGAGGAGGAGGAGGAGGAATGAGGAGGATGAGAAGGAGGAGGAGGAGGAGGGAGGAGGAGGAGCAGGAGCAGGAGGAGGAGGAGGAGGAGGAGGAGGAGGAGGAGAAGCAGAAAGGAGGAAGGAGGAGGAGGAGGAGGGCAGGAGGAGGAGGAGGAGGAGGAGGGAGGAGGAGGAGGAGGAGGAGGAGGGAGGAGGAGGAGGAGGAGGAGGAGGAGGAGGAGGAGGAGGAGGAGGACGGGAGGAGGGGGAGGAGGAGGAGGAGGAGGAGGAGGAGGAGGAGGAGGAGGAGGAGCAGGGGGAGGAGGAGGATGACGAGGAGTAGGAGGATGAGGAGGAGGAGGAGGAGGAGGAGGAAGAGACGGAGGAGGAGGAGGAGAAGGAGGAGGAGGAGGAGGAGGAGGAGGAGCAGGAGGAGGAGGAGGGAGGACCTCACGACCCCATAACAGAGCGAGGGGGGTTGGGGCTGGGGCCGCTGCCCGTGGCCCGACCCCCGCGGAGGCGGTGGCGCTCGGCTGCCTGGAGGAGCTCGCGCAGCAGGGCCCCGAGGCGCCCACGCCGAGCGGCGCCCCGCCGAGGAGCGCGCGGCCCGTGCAGGCCCGGCACCCGGCGGGCCACGCGGGGCGGCATCGGTGGCCGGCCGATGGGAGGTTTGAAGGTGTGGCCCGCGCTGGGGCCCCCTGGCGGCGCCGCTAGCGCCGCCCCTGGCGCGCTCCGCGCGCCGGGAAGGGGGGCGCAGCGCGGATCCAAGAAGTCCGCGCGGAGCGCCAGAAGTTTATGTTTATGTGTTTGTTTCTTCTGCTAGGGAGGGGAGGCGTCAGTCGGGCATGGCCCTCTACAGGAGGAACGTTCGAAAATAGTAAAAAGCAATGGTCTGGTTACGATTGTTCGTGCCCTTGTGATTCTTCTTGGCCATAGGTTGACTATATGCCTTATGTTTCTTCCAGAGTCCGCCTGTAGGAGGACATGCCCGACCCGAGGGGAGGCGGCAGCACAATGTTTCGGAGCTCCGCGCGGGTTGCTCGGATCGGCGCCGGGAGCCCACACGCGGCGCCCCTGGTGCCTCCCTTGGCTCGCGCCTCGCGCCAGGGAGGGGGTCGGGCGCGGATCCACGGCAGCCGCGCGGGCCTGCAAACGTCCGTGGTAGTGCTGCTTTGGGTGGTTCCTCCAAGGCTGGACAAGGGCTTCCAGGCTGAGCTTGCAATGTTCAGGGCCTCCTCCTCGGTGGGCCCCATCCCTCGGGGCCCCAGCTCCCCATCTCTGGAAGTGCCGAGCCGAGGAGCGCAAAGGGGATGGGGGAGGTGGAGACGGGGAGGGCGCAGGCGAGGCACGCAGGCGTCGCCCTGGCAGGCTCTGCAGACTCAGCGGGGGATCTTGTATGGCCGCGCAGAGGGGAGGTGGAGGAGCAGGAGCTGTCGGAGGAGGGCAAGAGGAAAAAAGAAAAGGGGGCAGAGGATGGTACAACAAGTCAATCAATGAACAGGCGTGCCTCGCATTCTTTTGGGGCGTCCTTCTGCCATGATCCCGCACCGTGCACCACTAAAAAAGATGAGGGGGAGGAAAACGACTATGCGGGAGAGACGGGGGAGGAGAGGAGGTGGTTAGGCTTTGGAGAGCAGGGTCAGTACTGGTGCAGCAGTTCAGCATGGTGCAGGAAATTCACGTGAGACGTATAAGCACGATTCAAGTGAGTTCGGCCAAAGGGCGCGGCCAACATGGATTATTAACATGTTGGCATAATTCGCTTGACAGATCACGGCTCGGGTACGTAGATGGATAGTCATATTTTTGACGAGTAGTAAGTTTAAACCGTCGTTGTTGTTTCCACTGATGTTGTCCGGTATCTGGTCATAGGCCTACGTTGCCCAGTTGTTACTAGCATCAATCGATATATCGAACGTGAGCTATAGCTAGGCTATAGCGTTTGCGCTTCTGCTCCTCGTATCTTCCCTCCGCCGTCCTCCCTCTTCTTCTACCCCGGCTCCTCTGGCGTCTCCTTTGCCACAACCGCCAACTCTACCTCACCCTCTTTCTATTAGTTATTTTGGTCTCATCTTTTCCCTTCCTCTCTTCCTCCTCTCCTTTGTGGTCCGCTTCGTTTTTTTCGCAGCGAGGCACTGGACAAGGTGAGCTTGTTGCTGCGCGCGCTGTGCGGCAGACGCACATCAAGCACGCACGAGGGACGTATCCCTTGTTGGGAGCAGTACGCGGATGCCCGGCCCACGCTGAGCAAGCGAATGACCGTAGGCAGCGCGCGAAATGTTTGCTGCAACGTGTTCGCGCTGGAGAGCGACCGAAAACATGCGGCCACAGCCCTGAGCGGCGCTCGTATCTTCTTCTGGCGACCTGTCACCTCTCATCTGTTTTTGGAGTCAGGACGCTGGAGTAAGTACCATTTTGGGCTCAGCCGTGGCTCTAATTTGCGGGACGTTTTCAAGGTCCAGGTCGGGGCATGTGTTCGTGACCGAGCCTCGCCGTTGCCAGACAAGCCCCTCCGTTCCTCATTCAGTGTTCCTTATGGCAGCACGATGACTGTATGCCCGACCCCCGCAAGCCAGCGGCCCACCGCAGTCCAATCCATGCTCAGAGCCCGCCGCCAGACACAGCGCCCGCAGCGTTCGTGTCGGCCAGCAAATCGTGCGAGGGGGGAAACGTTCTTCCCGCCTCTGGCCGCACACCCATTCCGCCTTGCCCTCCCCCCCTAAACTGACTGTTGCCACCAGCAGGGGCACGCGCTCCTCCTGCCTGCCTGCCTGGTGGCAGGGCTGGACGCGGCGATCCCAAGAGCCGGGGGGGGGGGCACCCACACAGCTGCAGGTTGACCATCCCCCCATCCCCCCTTTCCGTCGTCGTCGTCGTCCCCTCCTCCTCCTCCTCCTCCTCCTCCTCCTCCTCCTCCTCCTCCTCCTCCTCCTCCTCGTCCTCTTCCTCGTCCTCCCCCTCCTCCTCCTCGTCCTCCTCCTCCTCGTCCTCCTCCTCCTTCTCCTCCTCCTCCTCCTCCTCCTCCTCTTCTCTGGCTGGTGCTCCACTTGGGGGAGCTCCTTCTCCCCAGTGGAGAAGCTGGCCGTTCTCACGATATCAGTGGCATTCTCGCTCATACCTTCCTCCCTGCCTACTCCCGTTCTAACCTGCCCCATGCACCCATCCACCTCTCCCCCTGCCCGCCCCGCCGCCGCAGACCCTGCCACACCCCGACGACACCCCGCGCTCCGACTTCTGCGTGGCCCCCTGAGCCGGACGCGTCCGGGCCCGGAGCGTTTGAGCCCGCCGCCCCAAGAAAGACCCCTCGCACCGCCGTGCCGAGCTTGCGCACCCTGCGCTCCGAGTTCAGGCATAGCCAAGGTCGCACTCTCGTCGTCCGAGGACCGAGGGCTCGAGGATCTCGCTCGGGCATCGAGCGGTCGACGGGGTTCGAGCGTCGAGGCCCCATGTTTCTCGACGGTTCTTGGATTTTGCTCCGGGATCGAGCGTCTGAACGTCTGAGTCGAGGTGCCAGGTTTTATGACATGAATGCTAAGGCGGGCCTATTCCTCCACAGGAGGAATATTCAAAAGTAGTCCAAAAGTAGTCAGGAGACTTTTTTGACTCTGTTTGACTATTTCTGAATACGTTTTGACTCTCTTTGATTTTTCGTCCAAAATGCGCCTGTATGGGGGACACGCCCGACCTATCATTCATGTTTCGTTTGGTTTGTTTCGTTTGGTTTCCGGAGGACATTTCAGCGCGAACATGGCCGTCTGCACGGCGAGCTGGCCGGGTGAACACGCCCGTGCTCACTGTGAGATGGCCGCGAACACGGCCGTGTTAACTCAGGAGTGAAAAAAAAACGCACAGACACAATTGATCGTCGATTCCCCCGAAGATATGGGAAAATACGGGAAGTGGGGGGGAAGACGAAAACCCAGAACGTATAGGAAAATATGGGGAATCATGGGATTGTGTGTGTATTGATTTGTTTGTCCATGGGCCCCCTCGTTAACGCATGCGGGCGGCGCCCGCAGAAACGACTGCTCACTGATTTTGCGCGAGATCGCCGTGAGCACGGCCGTGTGCACGGCGGGCTGGCCGTGAGTGCAGCCGTGCTCACGCGTGCGGGCGACGCCCAAGAACATGAATGTTTCGCTGATGGGCGTGTTTTCCACCACCACCACCACAAC